CAGAAACAAACTAGAATGTGATTGACTGCCTTTAATGAACTCAAACACAAAAGCAAGACTCATACTAACTTAGAAAAAATAAACAAAGAAAATGATTGTAAATATTCAGAAGCAGTAAATAGTCAAGAATAGGGAAAAATTAGGATATCAATATTTTATTATAAACTTTAAAATTTTACATTTTAGATGTTGTTTCTCCAGAGTCTGAGAAAGGACTTAAGGAACTCACCAGAGATAATTACATGTAACTTACCAAAGAAGTAAAGTCTTTGAGTAATAAAAGATCACAGATTTATTTTGAAGTTTGACATAAACCTTGTGCCAGAAAATGCAGGAATGCCCCCGACTCTGTGAGAACAGAAACCTACTGGGTCTGGTAAGGTCCCACTCATGTTCCTGCACTTGTCTGAAATCGACTGTGTTCTGCCTCGGCTTGCACCCTGGCACGGTACCTGGTGCTGTTGAAGATCACGTGGGTCTCTGTGGCGTCCTTGCCTTTTCTCTACTGGCCTTGCTCCTGCAACATCATTCCCTCGGGCAGCCCCTTCTGGCATGTTCCCTATCTATCTTAGAAGAAGTTGGTGTGGAGAAATTAGTCAAATTAATAGCACGTTAGACACCACCACCAAGCTACCCACCTCACAATCATCCTATTGTGAGTAATGAAGTTGGGGATGAAGAGACATCTCAGTGATTAGGAGCACTTGCTGCTCTCACAGAGGACCCAGGTTTGGTCCTCAGCACCCACTTACATGGTGGCTCACAACCATCAATAACTTCAGGGGATCCAATGCTGTCTCCTGGCCTCCTCAAGCAATGGCATACATGTGGTGTACATACATGCAAGCACTCAAATACACATTTTTAAAAAGGGTAATGAGGTTACCCCAAAGAAGATAATGCTAACAAAAATGAATGGTGGTGGTAGGAACAGTTTCAAATACCAGTGAGATGGTCTTGTTGACAGCTGTGGAGGTGGATATACCCTTGAAGGAGGGCTGGAACTAAACCTAGTACACACAGTATCTTATGCAGACCTTGCGAGGTTCATGAAAGCTAAGGACTGAGGTAGAGGCAGCCCCAGGCTTGAACAATGAGCTGTGGGAAAGAGAGCAAGGAAATGGGAGAAAGGGAGGGTTCTAATTAGGATTGGAGAGGGAAATAACTACAGAGGAAGGTAAGATATCAGTAAGGATGTCTGAAAAAGTCATAAGGAATTATATTATTAACTACCAAAAAAAACCCTTTTAATATGTGTTAAGTCTTGTATAAATATACATATATTGTTTAAATGGAATTTTCCCTTCTAGGCTGACAGTGCTCCCTCTGAGAGCCAAAGACCACTTAATAAAAGCTCCAACAGCAGGCACAAGAATCTCTTGAGTTGTTGGTCAGCTTGTACAAGAGCTATTGCTGTTGGCCTCAGTTGCCCCCAAGAGGTGGAAGCTAAATCCCTATTGCTGAAGACAATATGCACTTCAGACATTATTCAGAAAATTCCTCTGGTACCGTGAAAACTT